GGGGTATGAAGACACTCTGTACTGAGATGATCGGGACTAGGATCCACCCTGGAACTGGGCATGAAACAATTGCCATGCTCAGCTAAAAATGCCAGTGACATGACATAAGGATACGGATGTGGAGGCCAGGGCATGGAAGTTGGGCTGGGACCATGGAACCGGAGGATTCAGCTGAGCATCATGCAAGTCTGCAACCAAGAATGTTCTCTGTTCCATTTTGATCTTCCTGTCCAAGACAGATGCAGGAGAAAATCTGGGTCTGGGAGACAGAGTTTTAGGTGGGGGTAAAACATCTTGTGAATCAGGTAGATTCAAAGCTTAGGCCAGGGTATGATGTGCCAACTTAGATCTGCACTTCTCATTAAGTTTGGACTTTGATTTATGTCGTTTGGCAGGGGGTTCTGAGGAACATCTCTGCATCTAAGGGAACCGTGATCTCGATTGGATCCATTGGGACTTGAATCAATGGAACTTACTTGGTGGAATTGGACAAGGAAGGCTTAGGCGTTTCCCCTGGCACCGAAGATGGATCCAAAAGGGACTCAGTGGTCTTAAGGTCTTTCTCCCAAAGGGCTGCTTTAAGCTTGGAAGCTCTGTCCCCTCTGGCCTTAGGACAAACCTTGCAATTGGACACATTGTGCCCTTAACCCAAACAGAACAAGCAAAGATCATGCTCATCTGTCTGTGTCATTTTGACACCACAACAGGTACAGTTTTTAAATAAAGCCCTCTGTGTCATGGCTGGCCAGGAAGTTATAAGCCACCTGCCACCAGAATGATGGGGGGAATGGCAAGCGACCAAGGGCTGAACACACACTCACAAAGATGAACAATGTTGGAGGAACTGAAGCTCGAACCTTCTCCGTCTGCAGCAAAAATGGAACTGAGGGTGGGGGCACTGGTGCTCCGGAGCATGACCATTTGGCAGGAACAATCTCTTTCTGCTCTGGCACACAGTGCCCTCCTGGAGGCTTTTAGCTGTAAAAGCCTTTCCGCAACAGGCCTGTTCATGCACAGTCCCTATGTGGGTCTGCACAGAAGACTGTCAATGAACTACTGAATACTGATAAATTCTGGCAAACTTTGTGAATATCTTTTTCCCAACTTGTCTGACATACACCAGAGAATCCTAACAATCACATTTAGTTGACTGGTGGTCATCACCAGTCAGTAGTTCTTTGAGATCACAAAATTGGATTGTCAACATCCACACTGGTAGCAATCCCCAAATTTTGGACATTCACTGTAATATAACTGGTGTGTGTGCGTGTATTAAAAACCCGGTTAGCAAGCCAGAATCCCAAAGGGATTATGTGCTTATGTGACTGTCCTAGGACTTCCCTGATTTCTTTATCAGCATGTAGCACTTATTACTGAAGCGGAAGCTGCCCAGAGGGCCCTTGGACTTCTGGAAGCAGTTTTCACAGGCACCAGTGGCTGCAGTAGATCACCTCAGAAATCTTGGTGCACATGCAGAAGTGTGTGTCCCTTTGAATTCTGGCCTGTATCAACTATACTAGAATACACTGTAAGGCAATCAATTTGCCTGCAGTGTGTTGACAGTATGCAACTCAGAAGGGTCATCTGTAGTGCAAAGAAGGATTTACTACATAATTTGTACAGATGGCGTTGCATTACAAGTCTCACAGAAATGTCAGTACATACTAATTTAAAACGTGCAAAATAAATAAGCTTTCTGATGTACAACTAAGTTTTTATTTAATATATTACTAGTGCATCTAGTTCAAGCTGTCATAAAAGCTATGCATAGTCAGAACTATGATTATTCAATCTGCAGGCACAAAATACATTTTAAACAAGATACTGTTTAGAAGCAGTGAAAAAGCAGGTGAAATAAATCTATAAGAACAGTAGGTAATCATTTGGTATTTACTGAACTTGCCAATGAAATGTTCTTTCTGAAAAACAAGATTCCTTCTCCAGTTGCTTTGCCAAATAAAATCTATTTATGATCTATAAAGTATCCCCAAAATTCTGTGCTTTGCAAGGACTCAGAAAACAAAATTCTTATAATATATAACTAGAAAACATAATACCGGTGTAGTAAAACTAGAATTCTATATGGTGTATATTTACTAGACATACTCTCTGTGCAGTTATACATGCTATCCATTGCTTTCAATAGGGATACACATGCCTAATTTTGCAGAATTGGGCTGTCAAAACAGTATAAAACTAAAGGTTAAACAAACACAAATCCTCTTTTAAAACCTTAAATTCAAAATTGTACTACTAAAACTTCAGATGGTGCAAAATGCAGTGGCTCATGTTGTTACCTCCCCAGAGGTACTTGTGCTAAATTCTCTCTCTCTGGAAAACTCAGAGGGACCCAGCAGTCCGAGAGGCAGTAAGACCGGGATCTGGCATAGGCGGGCAACAGGGAGCCAGAAGAGACTCCACTCTGAACCAGCCAAGCTAGATCAGGAGGAACCAAGTCCAGTAGAGTGAGTATGTACCTCATGATCAGCCAATAATTAACAAAGATCTTCATCAATGTACTAATCCTTAAATCCCATCTTCTCTGACCCGGGCACTAATCTGGGTAAACTGAACTGTCTCCTCAAAGTAATTTCCAGAGTCTAGCACCCTTTCCCTAACCAACATCGAGCAAATGATGTGTAGAAAGACAAACACTGGTGAAACCAAGCATCCTGCACATCCTCAGTTTTAATCTGGCTACTCATCACACCCTGGGCCAGCCCACCCCTGGCTCTCCAAACCACATTTAAACTGGCACTCTGGCCCTTAATTTTTGTACAGTTCTTGGGGCCCATAAGAGTGTGCCCTCAGACTCTGTCTGAGCCTGTGAAATCAACCGCTGGTCAGCCTTGTCCTCCTCCTCCTCCCATGTGGATTCCAGACTTCAGGATCAGGTGAATATTACCCTAATCTAAAACCAACCCCCTTCTTGTCATTATCGATCCCCTCTCTATTTCCTAGCTCTGTGTGTTTTGATCTGTTGTTATTATTTTTGCATGAGTGAGTAGTGTGAGCTTTGCATTTATTTACAATAAAAACTCCATTTATTCAATCAAAAGGTCTCTTCCTTCCACTGGCATCTCTTGCAATTTGACCCTCGTATACATAGAGTATAAAGAACCCTTGTACACATGTACTGCCCCAGGCAATCCATGTAACAGTGTCGTCACAGGGTCACCCCTAAGAGTACATATAGATCCAATGCTTTGCCAGCTGAAATCGGCTCCCAGGTGAATTCTGGATCAAGTTCAAGGTCTTGGTTCTTACATTTAAAGTCCTATGCAGACTGGGACAGTCTCTCTCTATACAGCCCCTGAAGGGCTCTTCGTTCTTCCGCCCAATATCTACTGCTTGTCCCGGGCCCCAGAGATGTCTGCCTAGCTTCAATCAGAGCCAGAGCCTTTTTGGCTCTGGCGCTGGCCTGGTGGAATGCTCTCCCTAGTGAGATCTGGGCCCTGCATGATTTAATGCAGTTCCACAGGGCCTGTAAAATGGAGATGTTCCACCAGGCCTATGGTCAAGGCGGCGACAACTCAACCACAATGTCCTCCCCTGCTCTACTTAGCTATGCTTAGCAGCACTACAGTCCATCCTAGCTGTTTACTCACCCACCCACTCTTCCTGTACTGCTCAGATCTGCAGCTACATCAAAACTGGAACCTCATCCATTCACTAAACTGTTTAACCGGTACCTCTTCAAGCTTTATGCGTACAAATTGTTTAGAATTGTTTTATGATTGTATTCTGTTTTAAATTTAGCATGGTTTTTATAATGTTGTGTCCCGCCCTCACCCTGTTTGCGGGGGGAGGGCAGGATAAAAGCCCATTGATTTTAATATGCTTAGACTGGAGTAACTCTGCATAGGGTTGCACTGATGAGCACTGATTGATGACCACTGATCATGCTCTGGGAACTAAGAATGTTGAGAACACTGTACATAAAAAACAATGACCAGGAGAGAAGAAATCAGCCTGCCCAAGCCACTGAAAGAATACTTTATTAGCCCTCCATGTATGTGGCATCTTCATAAATGAATCACCTCTTTATAGTTGTTTCCCAATCCCAATAATATGATATTTATTATTACAAAAGCAAAAAGATAGGGAATGTTATGGTCACAGTATTGGATTATTTTGAATCATCAAAAAAAATCTGTTCCTGAGAGTCAGAGGACCCTTAGCAAAAGCACAGAATACAGCATGAGGCATTTGCAGAGGGAAGGGGGCAATCAGCCAAATCTCCTTGCATGAGCAAGTTTCTTTCAGCTCAAACACTACGGGTTTGGCTCCAGTAACGGAGCAGAGAAGCTAAACCACAATTTTGACATGATCTCTCTCTCTCTCTCAAGCTCACATACATTTTGAGAAGTACTCCTCCTTAAGAACAGTGGTGGTGGAAAGAACTGCCTACTTATAGCTGACTTCTAGTGACTCCATAGGGTTTTCATGACAAGAGACATTCAGAGGCGCTTTGCCACTGCCTGCCTCCACATCACGACCCTGCTATTCCTTGGAGTTCTCCCATTCAAATACTAGCCAGAGCCGACCCTACTTAACCTCCAAGATCTGTCGAGATTGGGCTAATCTGGGTTATTAAGAGTAGTAATCACTGTTTGTTGACTTGTATTTTACCTCAGATTTCTAAAAACTAATTAAAATTACAAAGCTAAAAGTATCTAAAGAAAGTATCAGCTAACTCTGAACTGTTCCATACCTACAGATATTAATGTACAATGAAAGTGTAGCTTCCTGTCAGTCTACAAAGGTTACAAGGCATTTTGCTCAACTGCCAACACTGATTCATCTGTACAGCCACAAGATTTTCTTCAAGACCACTGTTATACATGATGTTGCTAAAAGTGAGGAGGCTGTCAATTATATTCTGCCTTACAAGGTATGCCTTAATCCTAGAATAAATTTTAAGAAATATTGCCTATGAAAATCATACATAATAACAACAACGGTATATTGCTTTGATAGGTCGTAGTCTCATTATTTACCTTTCTGTGATAAATACTACAAAGTCCTCTCTCAACATCTGGCATCTTATATAGGAGTGTCTTAATTTGACCAAGGATGCTTGATTCGGACATGAGAACTTCAGACACTGCATCAAGTCGAGAATCAATGTCACTGGGAAGAAAAAAGTAATCTTTTTTAAAAGCCCTAGTGTTCTGTAAAACACAATCAGAAATCATGTACCTCTATCAATCATTTTTGGGAATAGATAGATAGAAGTGAGGGTTACATAACATATTTAACCATGAAAAACACCAAACAATTTCTTCAAATCTGTTAAACACACTACCAGAAAATAATTGTCAACATTTTCCAAAGAGTAAGTTTGTTAGTAATCAAGCCAAATATAATCTGGCTCATACTCTTGCTCTTGGTATCCTGGATATAATGCCACATGGACTTCTTTAGTATCTATTATATTTACATCCTATCTTTCTTCTCATCATAGAAAACAAAGTGGCATTCATAAGGTTGCAAGGTGGTCTTCCCAACTAATCACTGACCAGATCTAGTTTCAGCATGGATGTTCTATCACATTCCTTGAGACCACATCATGGGACAATAATGAATGGGAGAGATGAATTTAAGCACTGTTTATTCTGCATATTAAATCTAAAACTTTTATGTCATAAAACTACTGATTGCTATATTTATTTACATGCTTCTGGGTACCATCCAGAATATGCCACACAATCGGTTGTCTACTACTGAGCACTAAAGTGTAACAGCATCTATGCTAGTCCTTTTGAAAGGAACAACCACTCTTTTCATTATGCACTCCTGAAAGTACAGTTCACTCTATGGAACTGAGAAACAAATGACAAGGTTAGATGGGCACCAAGGAATCACAACCAATGGGACTGTTCCAGCTCTCAAAGTCACAGAACACCATTGGTAGTCACCTACAACTCATCAGTATCTGTATCTGCTCTATATGCGTGTATATGATTTATGCTGGTCTTTGACCATATCAAGAATTCTGAAATCTGAATCTGCTCAAAGGCCATGAGGGCTAAGTCTATCTTGCTTAAAGACAACAATGGTGATTCCAAGCATCTTGCAAAAGCAGTTCCCCATTCTCCTTTTTATCCTTATAACAACAAACTTGTGGGGTAGGTTTGGCTAAGAGACTGTGATTGGCCCGAAGCTTACCCTGAAGGGTTTCATAGAAGTCGGGGGATTTCAAGCTGGTTCCCTTAGTCTGCACTATTTTATTTAGAAAATGTTTATGCTCACTCTCCAGGGAAACTACCTGAGGTGGCTTACAAAATAAAACATAATTAAAAACCCATTAAACAATGAAAGTAATTAATTAAAATGCAGGATTAAAAAAAAAAATCAACCAAAACTTATTAGCTTTGTCACAATTCAGCATCAAACCTAGATGCTGGCAGGTGAGCAAGGTCAAATTAACATGAGCCACCAGCTCATCCCTAGATGATGCAGTGATCGTCCAACTAAGGAATAATGGAACAACCTTCAGTTCTCAAGTATGCTATTACCACTACTATGTATTTTGGAGCAGAAGCCGAACCAAATGGCAGGACAATATATTGGAACACTTTGTCACCGTGTTTGAAACAGAGGTACTTGCTGTGACTTTCATGAATCAAAATATGAAAATAAGCATCTTTTAAATCTAGAACAGCAAACCACATGTTTCATTTTAGTAACTGGATAACTGAAGACAAGGTAACCATGTGAAACTCAGATATCCTCATAAACTTATTTAACTTGCAAAGGTCAAGAATGGACCTCGTGCCTCTGTCTTTTTATCTACTAAAAAAAAAGAGAGTGGAAACTGAATTGGACACTCTCAGAAGAAACAGGTTCAACAGCTCCCTTATATACAAACTCTGTTAATTACTGTTGAAGTTCAGGGAAAGGGTTGTCCACAGAATGTACTGAACATTCACACCGTGGTAGATCTCTAATTATAAATTATAGCTATGTTCTACAATGGATAAAACCCTTATATCAGAACTAATTGCATGCCACTCCTTGAGGAAGTGACTCATGAAAGCTCATACCCTGCCACATATTTTGTTTGTCTTTAAGGTGCTACTAGACTCTTGCTCTTTTCTAAAATTCTAGGAATGGGTTGAAGTGAACACTGTAGTCAGAACAGCTGCATCTGAGATGGCTTTTGAGTCTCCTTAGGCAACTGGGAGTGAGTCTCAGGCTTCAGTCTAAAAGAATCCCTTCTCCTTGAGAAAGGTTGAGATTGATATTGCTTTTGGGAAGGATACTGTTGGTATGGTAGAAAAAATCTCTGGCCATGCTGATAAGATGGAGGCCCCTGCTGCCATTGATAAAACCTCTAGAAGCAGATAAAACAGGGATCCCTAGTGTGTGAATGTAGAAAACAGCAGGAAACGCCAAAGAAAGACCACCAAAGATTATATACACTTGAAATGTCTGAGTATAGAATACATTGAACAAATATTAAATGTTCAAATAAATGTCTACATTGAGTTGGTGGTCCACAACCCAAAACACATACAATGTTCCCAAATATAAACACAGGTGCTCATGGCATATCATACGTCGATACTGAAATACAAAATAACATCACAGTAGTTGTACTCACAGGCACTGATGACAAGGAATGCACATAAATAAATCCAACTGGTCGATCCTCCTTGCCTAAATGAATTAAAAGTGTTCAAAGATCTCCAACAGTTGTAAATAAAGCATAGGGCAACCAGTGGGAAAATCTCCTACAGTGGAACACCTTTCCCAGGCATATGGACCTTTCAATTTTTCATCTGTGGCTGAATACTGGAACTGTAAGTAATAATATAACATACAATCCATGCAATATCCATGGATACTGTAGGTATTCCATGGATCGTAAGTTATATTATTGCTCTGTATGAAGCAAGAGACAGATTTAATTAACTTTTGCCTTTTATATTGTTAACTAGAGGTTGTCACTCCCCCTTTTTCTTTCCAGAAGGCTAAAGGTGCACCAGATATGACCTCCATTCAGCACCACCATCTATTCAAACCTGCCTGGAATTCTACATCAGATGCAGACAAAAAGCCTTAAATTCACAACTAGCAATATTTCCCCACCTGTACCCTTTATTATTTACCATCTTGCCCCATGAGACTTTTGTAGAACTCAAACACTTGCACACTGTTTTGCTGTTCTTAACAAAAGGTACTATTTTGGATTTAATTCATCTAGGACTTTCTAGCTGAGGATATTCACCAGATTAACTGGCAAAATGCAGTCTCTGAAATATACCACTAGTGATTCAGAAGACCATAACAGGTGCAACAGACTAAATCCATCTCTCTGGTATCCTTCAGGCACCTCAACAGGGAAAAAATTATTTAAGTCCTTTCGAAATGTTGTCATATCTATATAACCAAATACAACTAACGGGAAAGATCAACAGGCTTCTTTCATTTAATTCAGGCTGGCCTTTGTTTTATCATTTAGAGGAAAACATAAATACCTCTAAACATACTACTTTTATAAATTAATACATTATATTGTATTTTGCTTTGAGAGTTTCATTGATGCAAACAATATACCAATCTGAATCAATAACATACAATGGCATAAAGCACAGATGTAACATCCTCTCTTAAAAGGTTAATCTGCACTTTAATCATTTTCACATATGGTTATAGGCTGCAGTAGCTCCAGTAATCTAACACACACAAAAACATCCATACACTTTGGCTGCCGTAATCCTCAATATTCAAGGAGGTGGGGTCAGAAGAATATCATCCAATATTATGACCTATTTTTACCTTACTATTACAGAATATAGTTTCTGAGGGCAACTGCGTTGGCCTGCACATCGGCAGCACCACTTTCATCTCCAACCTCTAACAAGTAATTGTGTGTAATGTGTATGGGAATTAATTCCTGAGGATGTCCCCCAAAAGGTTTACTTCCTTGAAAAAGACACTGGCCACCGTTGCTTCAGAAGTGGGGTCCACGCCATCTCCGGAGCCAAGTCAGGCACCTGGCTGTCAAATTTAATGCCACTGCTCTGGCAGAAAGTTGATCAGAGTCCAAAGATATGTCAGCCAAAAAAGCCACTGCCAGGTCAATTTTCTTGAGGTCATCATCGAACTCTTTAGGGATGTTATTGTTGGCCACTGAAAGATCCAAGGCCCAGAGGCTGACCACCCTGGGCAAAAGGGAGCCCACTGTGGAGGCCTACAGAGCTACAGGTGAGGCCTTAAAGTTTTTGCACAGGGCCAAGACAATCCTCTTGTCTTCTTGTCCTCCAGATCCCTAGGGATCTGGGACTATTGTATGGGAACCCAGATCCATCATCAGTGCATCTACCACAGGGAGCGTGAAGCAATTTGGCCACTTCGGGGAACACTGAATGAAAACATGGAATGATCTGATGGTTAACCTTAAGTCTAGCCGGTATTGTCAAAAACAGATGGGAATGGATTTCCTGAGGATGTACCCATGCACGGGAAGGCTCTTGCCAAACCCACCAGACAAGCAAAATGAAGTTCCTCTGGCTCTTTCTTGCACCTGGGAACCTCCAAGAGGTGCAGAAGCTTGGGAAAGATCTTAGGACTTATTGAGGGGAAAGGTGAATATGCATTATTGTCGCAATGACTTCTTCCTCCTCTGAAAGCTCCCCCTCTTCCCTAGCCAAAGAAGTCAGAGAGCCCTGATACCTTGGCCTAGGAAGGATGAGAATCTCACTCCTTAAGCCCTCTATGCTGTTTTCTAAGTCTGTTATTGCCCATTTCATTCCTTTGTGGGGGGGGGGGGACGGGACACACATATCAACCTGTCCAGGCCTGAAGCTGTGAATATCTGGCCTGGGCATGAGAAAAAAGGGTACAGCCTCTGCCATCTCGTGCAAAAGTGAGGTCCTGCTACTTTGTGCCAGAAGTGAGCAGGAGCACAAATGACCTTTTCCTCCCCGGGGTGGTGGTGGTGGCGGTAGTGGTTGAAACCTGCTGTCCTGCCAACACCCAAGGTCTGTCTTACAAGCTTAGGCAGGAAGGAGGAGGCTGCAGTCTCATTGTTGGCTCCAAACGACAGCAGGGTGAAACAGGGGGTTCCTACTACTGATGCTGCTGCCTTGGGGACTCAGTGGCATTATTTTTTATGAAAACTA